GAGTTGGCGCCCAGGGCCCGCCCACTGGGAGCCTGCAGCCAATGGCCGAGCTGCCTGATGAGGTAATGCGCCCCTTCGTGCTCCCATTGGCAGCCGGGTTCTCTGCTCTCCCCCCGACCCGTGAAGGACCAGACCGCCGTCTGCTCTGGCTGGCGAGGGTCCAGCATCCTCCGAGCGCCGCGGGCTGACCCGGGCACAGCCCCAAGGTGGCACCTGCGTCCCCTCCATCGCCCTTAACTGCGGGCCCCCACCTGCTCATGCGCCTTTCTGGGCCCCGGTCCCAACATAAGGGGCTGGGCTGGCTTGAGCTACCCCTGCCCTCTTCCTCCTCGAGTCCCCCAAGAGGAGGAGAAGACACCCCACCGCTCCGCAGTAAAAAGCCCCGAGCCACCCCTCTCAGGTCACTGTGCATTTATTGAGCTCCCACTGTGTGCAGCTTCCCTGGAGATACAGTAATGGCCAAATCAGACCCGGGTCCCTGTCTTGCAAGACTCGCAAACTAACAGGGCAGAGGCCCCCGCGGCCACTGGCACCTCTCGGGCCCGCTGCTGCCTGGCTGTGGATTCACGGGGGGGGGGGGGCGAGGCCGGTGGGGGGAGCTCCCCGCTGTCCCCTGTCAATTTGCCGTGAGCCCAGGAGAGCTGGGGGCTGCGGGCCAAGACGTATTTACCCCCCACCCCACTGCCGCTGCCCGGACTGCTCCTGTTTTTTAAAATTCTCCCTTCCCCCCCTTCCCTGCCCACAACCGTCCTGGTGGAATTTTTTAAATTTTTCTTCTAACTGTGGGCGTTTTTGAGCCTGTATCTGGTTGTTTTGTTTGCCTGCGTTTCTTCACTTTCTTATCGCGGTGTGATGTGCACTCCCCGCCCCCTAAATCACGCACTTCACCACTGGGCAGCCCGGCACTTTGTCACCCACGCGGGGTCCTCGTCCCTAGCGTCCACGCAAGACCAGACACGGGGTGGGGGCGGGGCGGGGGAGATGGAGCCCTTCCTGTCTTCGTTTGAGATTTTGATGTTGTGCTCATCTTGGAAAATTGTTTTGGCATTAATTATAATTTTTAAAAAATATTACAGCCAAATGTTATTTAGCTTTGTGCTGTGGTTTTGGGTGCTTTTCTGAAGTTTTGCATCTAAGGAAAAATGCTGTCTCATTGTATCTCGGCCCTGACCTCCAGAAGAACATTCTTTATTTTAAAAAATTGGGGGGGAGCTGGGAATGGTGGCACACACTTGTCACCCCAGCACTTGGGAAGCTGAGGCAGGAGAATCACTGAAAGTTTGAGACCAGCCTGAGCTACATAGGCAGACCATATGTTCAGAAAAAATATTTTTTTTAGTGCAGCGGATTGAACCCAGGGCCTTTGCACTGAGCTACATCCCCAGCCCCCTTTTTTACTTCTTTAAAATTTCATGGGCCAGGGATGTAGCTCAGTGGTTTCGCCGCCTGCTGCGCAAGTGCAAGGACCCGAGTTTGATCCCTGGTACCAAAAAAAGTAAATAAATAAAATAAAAGTTCAAGTTAGGATCTCTCTAAGTCATTAAGTTGCCCAGGCTGGGCTCACACTTGTGATTCTCCTGGCTTAGCCTCCCAGAGTGCTGGAATGACAGGGATGCACTGCTACCCATGCTGGGACATAGTCTTTTGCATCTGGCCCATGCTTTTGCCATTCCTGCAAGCCATGGTGCCTCTCGGTCCTTCCTTCCTTTTCATCGCTGCATCGTATTCCAGTGCAGTTGGCCTGCTGCATGCTTTCCTGTTGTTGGCTAACAAGCATTTGGGTCCTTCCTTCTGTTTGCTTTTCAGGAAGAAAGCTGCAAAGCACTGACTCGAGCGCCTCCAGGTGGACATCTGCTTGGGCTTCCCTTGGGCAAACACCTAGGCGTGCGGCCGCTGTCATCTGCTCAGGCATCTTTCCCTCATACAGACTGCCAAATGGTTGCGGCTTGGCTGTACCATTTCGCATCCCTGCCGGCGCAGTGCCTGTGAGCCCATGTTCTTGGCATTTGGATTTCCCCCATTGGATCAGCTTTATAGGGGCGGGAGGGAAGGGTACCGCTGGCTTTGACAAATGCGTGAATCGCAGAGCCACTGCCTTCCTTGAGAACTATACTGCTTGTCACCCAGAAAACGCCCTCGGGACATGTGTGTGTAATTTTCAGAGAGATTACGATGCACTTCTTTTCTGGCTTTCTGCAGGTGCTGCTTGATTTTGAAGCCCCCCTCCCCATCTGGCAGTGGAGCTCTGCACCTCAGCCCCTTGGGGATTCTGGGAGACAGCAGGAGGGGGCTGAAGGCACGCGCAGTCTCAGCTTGCTACTATTATTATTTCAAGTCCTGGGGATGGAAAAGGGGTGTTCTATTGCTGAGCAACAGCCTCAGCCCCTCTTTTTTTTCTTTTGAGACAGGGTGTCACTAAGTCACTAAGTTGCTCAGGTTGGATTCAAACTTGAGACCCTCCTGCCTCAGCCTCCCAGAATGCTGGGATGACATGGCTGTGCTACTGCGCCCGGCTCCCATTTTCATAATTGCTTCTGTGTGTGATACCAGCTGCCCCAGGCCCTGCCGGGTGAAATACTATCTCTAGAGGAGGCTCTTCTCAGAGTCCTGACTGCTTCCACATTCTGTGATCTGAAACCCATCTTGCCCTGGGGTCTCAGATAAGCTCTGTTCTGACTTAGTATTATTTACAGACCCAACTGTGGGGGATCCCGGGCTTCCTGGGGTCAGGGGAGGGCTCGGGGACTTTGCCAGGCTGGCAAGAAAGCAGACATAGGATTGAGTCCTTCCCACTCCCAGGATGCCTTGCAGCTTGCCAGGCTGATGACCTCCAAGGCAGCCGGGTTCACACTGGGGCCTCTGGGTGGGGGGTGCTCCCTGGAGGCGGGAATGCAGAGCAAAGACCAGGGTGAAGGATGCAGGACAGGTCGCTGCACAGCCAGTCTGGCATGGGCAGAGGCCCTGGGGCACTACAAGAGCTGAAGCCTGCTTCAAAGAGCTGAAAAATGTCCTACAGGCAGGCTGCCCTCATGCCCATCCTCCATGCGGGAGGGACCCAGCACGGTGGGGAGGGACAGGCTGGGGCCACCGAAAGGCACTGTGAGCACCGAGTCAGGTTCTCCTTCCTGTGCCCTTGGCCCTTCACGGCTCCCACTTCCCTAGGGTCAAAGCCCAAGTCCTCCCTGCAGCCCACAGGGTCCTACAGTGCCCCTCCCCGCCTGTCCTCTTCCCTCTCTGCCCCTTGCTCCCTCTGCTCCAGCCACAGGCCTCCTCAGTGCTCCTATACCTCATAGGGCTCCATCCTGCCCCAGGGCCTTTGCATGGCTGTGGCCTCCACCTGGGATGCTGTAAACTTTACTTCTTTTGCTTTTACATTTTTATGTTCAGTACATTAAGTTCCAGGGAGGCACCAACGACCTCTTCATCAGCCTCCACCACATAGTAGCTGTACACAGTAGGTACTCAGCAAGGAAAACATTAACTGGAGCAACCTGGGTGGGCAGAGCCTTGTATTTCTGAGTCCCGGATGGCAGATTTTGGCTCTGGACAGCAATAGAGATATTAGGAGAAGGACTCCCGACTTGGGTTGCTTCCCTCTGCCTTTAATTATTTTGTCGACAAGGCCCACAATTCACCAAGTCAAGGTGGCATTTGCGAGGGACGGTTCCCTTTAGCGTAGCTGACAGCTAATTTGTGGGAAGTTTAATTACAGGCGGCGTTAATTAACTGGCAGGGTGCTGGGCGAGGAAGGCGGCCATCTGTTCCAGAGAACGTCCTCCCCTTCTGGGCCTGGTAGGGAGGCTGTGAGGGATGGGAAGGAGGGGCAGGCCGTGGGGAGGAGGCAGGGACAGGGAGGAGGACTCACAATGGTCACAGCCTTTGAACCCGCTTCCGGACTCTGTCAGGGCACAGATCTTGGCAGCCAGCCTCCTGGTGGTGGCTGCTGGTGATGCAGTACCAACTCCTGGGAATTTGCCTCTTGCTGGTTGTATCACTAGGAGCAGAGGGCGTGGGATAAAGGAGGTGAAGAACATATTGTCCATCTTTCTTTTTTTTTTTTTTTCATATTGTCCATCTTTCCTTCCACCCATCCTTCATAGCCATGCCATAGAAGTAGTAAACAGACTCTGGATGGAGATGGGCATTTTTGAATTCGTATCCCAGCTTTGTCCCTTCTGGGCTTCTGAGCCCCAGAGCAAGTTATCTCTCTGGGCTTCTGGTTTTCTTATCTAAAAAAATAAAGTTGATTAGAATAAGGCCTCCTTCCATTTATCCTTCTAGAATGTGGGGCCTAAGCACTCTTGGCCATGGCAGAGAGCGTGATCACAAGCCAGAAATGCTGTTATTTGCTGAAGGGTCTGTGTGTATCGAGGGGGATGTTTTCCATCAGACCCAGAATTCCCGAGCTTCCTGCACGCAGGGCCCTCGAATACGCTGTGCCCTTCCCAACAAACACAGTTCCACCTTGCCCAGCAGCCCCGTGCTATCTTCCCAGTCTTTTGTTGTTGTTGTTTTGCTTTTTGGTTTTGGTACCAGGGATTGAACTCAGGTCCTTGTGCTTGTGGGGCAGGCGGCAGAACCACTGAGCTAAATTCCCGGGCCTATATTGTTTTGTTTTTGAGTCAGAGTCTCCCTACACAATTCATGCCGGCCTTAAACTCACTATGTAGCCCAGGCTGGCCTCAAACTCACAGCGATCCTCCTGCCTCAGCCTCCTGGAGTGCTGGGATGACAGACGTGCACCACCACACCCTCTCTCTCTCTTTTTTTTTTGGTACTGGGGATTGAACTTGGGTCCTTGTGGTTGGGCAGCAGGTGGTGAAACCACTGAGCTAAATCCCCAGCCCCTCACACCCTCTCTTTTAAAAGGCAAAAGGAATACTGGGCCCAGTCCCTGGATGGACACGGACTGGGGACCCTGTCTCAGAGCCACCCAGAACCTGGCCCAGCCCTCTGTTTTCTCACCCCAGGGCATGCAGAGTCCCTCAGCCGGGTGGGGCGCACAGTGGCAGTGCAGGAGGGCGACAATGCACGCTGAATCCCACTTTATTCTAGGAACTTTCCTCAGTGCCCCTCTGTGCCCTGGGTCCCCTCCCGCCGGCAGGCATGGACACCAGGAGGGTCCCCGGGTCCCGGAGGGGACATGAAGCTGTAGGAGCGACGCAGGGAGGTCCTGACCAGCAGCCTGGGCGCCGGGGGTCGTAGCCCCTCCTGGACGGCCCAGATCGGGGCGCGCGGGCCCTCGTCGGCCTGGCTCTCCGTGGCCGAGTCGGAGCCGTCCTCGGAGCTGGCCACCGGCCGCTTGCACAGGGGACAACCGCGGCGGGTGCCCTGGGCCAGCCAGGGGTCGAGGCAGGCGCAGTGGTAGGCGTGGGCGCAGGGCAGGATCTTGAGCTGATCCCCGTCCTCGTACTCGTCCAGGCAGATGGCGCACAGGTCGCTGCGGCGGGCGTAGACCCTCACCTCCGCCTTCTGCCGCGTCTGCGTCTTCACCGACGGCGCCCGGCCCCACCAGGCGCGCGCCCAGGGCCCCAGGCGCGGCAGGACCAGGAGGGCGACGGCCACCGAGGCCAGGCCACGGCCCAGCGTCCAGGCCGGGGCCAGCGCGGGGCGGCAGAGCGGGACTTGGCGCAGCGCGGCCTCGGGCAGCAGCAGCACGTGGGCAGCCGGGTCGCAGCGCAGCAGGACGCGCAGGTCTCGGGAGGCGGCCTCGCCCACGAACACGGCGGGGATGGCGATCTGGCGCCACAGGTCCTCGAAGCCCGGCGCCATGCGCACCAGCTCTTCGGAGCGCACGTTGTGCACGATGGCCGCCTCGAAGCCGGCGCGCTGCGCGTGCAGCACCTTCAGCTCGAAGGTGCAGTCGTAGCGCTGGATGAGCGCGATGGCGCCCAGCGAGCCTTTGCCCCTGGCCCGCGGGCCCTGGATGGGCTGGCACGCGTTGGCTGGCCTGGCCTCTGTCAGGTAGCCCCGCATGCCCTTGGGGGACAGGGGGACCCCGAACAGCGCCGGCAGGGCCGCGAAGTCCACCGAGCTGGCGTTGCCGTCCAGCACGGCCCGCACCACGGCCCACGACGGGGACAGCAGCAGGGATAGCGCCAGCCCGGCGGTGAGCGCCGCGCAGGCCAACCACGCCCGCCACATGGCCGCCCTGCCCTCTGCCGCCGGCGGCTAGGTCTCCCTGGGGGCCCCTGACTGGCGGCCTCTGGGTATTGTGGGGCCTCCCAGGGCACCTGTGGCCGTGGTGGGGACCGAGGTGGCTGGGTCAGGGGCTTAAGGGCGGTGACGCACAGATGCCAGCACCCGCATGGCGCCTCTGAAGCCTGGGCATGGGGCTGCAGCCGGCGGAATCAGTCCGGAAGCCCCCAGGGTTCCAGATGCCACTGTGATGTCACCAGCACCTCTGTCCCCAGGGCCCCTGTGGCGGAGACAGCATTCCTGAGTCCCTCACAGGGGAGCCTGGGTGACCTGAAGAACCCTTCTGACCCGGCGAGGTGGCACAGGCCCGTCATCCCAGCACTCAGGAGGCTGAGGAAGGAGGATCCTCATGAATTGGAGTCCACGCTGGGTTACATAGTGAAGCCCTGTCTCAAAAAACCAAAATAAAGACATAAACCTGGAAGACAGAGCGACCTGGCTCCTGGGCCCAAGGAGGCCCAGAGTTTCACAAAGGCTTTGGTGACACAGACTCTCAGTGACACTACTGTTATGCATCATCCACTCAAGTCCAGCAGCGACAGGAAAGGCCCATGTGACTGTCTTTTTTTGTTTGTTTGTTTGTTTGGTGTGGGGATCGAACTCAGGTCCTTGCGCTTGAGCAGCAGGCAGTGAAACCACTGAGCTAAATCCCTGGGCCCGCCATGTGGCTGTCATGTGAAGTCCCCAGGCCTTTTGGGGTCCTTCCCCACCATGCAGGAAGTATTTTGATTTTTCTTTTTTTGGTGCTGGGGATCGAACTCGGGACCTTGCACTTTTGAGGCAGGCGGTGGAACCACTGAGCTAAATCCCCAGCCCTTGATCTTTTTATTTTGGTTTTTTCCAGTTCTGGGTATTGAACCCAGGGCCTTCACACTGAGCTACATCAGCCCTTTTTATTTATTCTTTATTTTGAGATGAGGTCTCTTTAAGTCACTAAATTGCCCAGGCTGGACTTGAAGTTGAGATCCTCCTCCTCAGCCTCCCACAGTGCTGATGATACAACAATACTATACAATAAGACAGGTTGCCTTGCCTCCATGGGTTTTTTTTCCCACAGAATGTTTTGTTCCAGAAATGTAACAGTTTGTGCTGCTGGGCAGCTCCTGCCCAATGTATGAAAATGTTCTGTAACTGTTTGAACTTCCACCCTGTCAGGAATGTTCTGTTAACTGCAGCCCTTTCAGGAATGTTCTGTAACTCTGCCCCTCTGCTTCAGTGAGCATGCTCATCTATTCTGTAGATCCGTACGTAAGGAGGCTCTCATTTCTGGTGAGGCCCTCAGACTTCAGAGTACAAACTCCTCTGAGCCTGCCGGCATAATAAAGGTTTTTCTCCATCTCTTCAAGTGACAATCACATTCTTGAGCCTTCAAATTGCGATAGTGCAGACCAGAGCTGTAACACTGAGCTGTGGCTCGGAGCTGTGGTGGTTGGCTGTGACACTGAGCTATTCCACTTTGCCACAATACTGGGATTGCAGGTGTGGGCCACCATGCCTGATTTTAGGTCTAAACTATGCCTGTCTGTCTGTCTCTCTCTGCCTCTGTCTCAATATCTCCATCCGTACCCATCTTTCTGCCTACAAGTCCTCTGCCTTCTCCCTTGCCCACGTCACCCACATCATCCCCTCCACCCCTGTCCCTGTCTCTCTCTTTGCATGTTTCTGTCTCTGTCCCATGTCCCCACATCTTTTCCTCTCTTCCTAACTTCGTCTCTCCTTGGTGCTGTGCCTGTCTCTCCAGGTCTCTGTCATCCCTGTCCCTGGCCCTCAGCTGTCCCGTGGTTGATGGGTCTGTACATTATGAAAGCCAGAGACACTGTCCTCCTGAGGCCTGAGAGGACAGCTGGGCAGACCTGACTTCACCCCTCCCTTTCTGGGTGACCAGTCCTGTCCCAGCTTGGCATTCAGCCCCAGCTATAAACTGAGGTAGGCCTGGCACACACCCACAGATGTTTCCTGGACACCATTTCCCTGAGTTTCCTGCGTGGTCAGCTTTCCATCACTATCACAAAATACCAGAGGCCATCATTGTATAAAGAGAGAAGGTCTGGGGCTGGGGATTTAGCTCAGTGGTGCCATCGCCTGCCTCCCAAGCTCAAGATCTTCAGTTCAATCCCTGGTACAGAGAGAGAGAGAGAGAGAGAGAGAGAGAGAGAGAGAGAGAGGCCCTTGTGGATCCAGTTGTGAGGATTGGGCCCCAAGGCAGCAATCAAATGGATTAATCTATTGATCCCTTGATCTGTGAACAAGTTGGTCACTTCCTTCCTCTGTCTCTCTGCCTCCAGCCGCCATGATATGAGCAGCTTTTCCGGCCTGGAGTCGGCCCATCATGAACTGAACCCAGTGAAGCTGTGAGCCACAGAGACTCTCTGTGAGGCTGTATGTGTCAGGAATTTTGTCACAGTGATGGAACAGTGAAGAATACACCAATTTTGGCATTGCCAGTCTGTGGTCACTTTGCCCCTGTGGTGAGATAACAGGTCATGCAGGGGCAGGTAGTGGATCAGAGCAGGGAAGGACCTGGGGAGCTGCTGTCCCTTTAAGGACACACCTCCAAGGACTAGGGGCTTCCACAAGGCCCCGCCTCTTAAGGTTCCACTCCCTCCAAAAGCAGTATGCTGAGAACACATGGGCCTTGGGGGACACTTATCCAAACTGCAGCATCCCGTGAGCTTGGGGCTACGTGGCTAAACTGTCCTGATTATGTTCAATCTTGGACTCCTCCTGCCTCAGCCTCTCACCCTAACTCTAAGCCTACTTAGAAGGATTTTGTTTTTTGGAGACAGGGTCTCACTATGCGGTTCAGGCTGGACTTGAACTTATTATGGAGCACAGGCTGCATACAGTACAGCCACCTCTGTATGCATAGCTCCGCATCTGCCAATTCAACCAATGACAAATTGAAAATGTTTGGGAAAAATTGCGAATGGACTGAACACGCACATACCCTTTTCTCTTGCTGTTATCCTCTACACAGTGCAATAGGACAACTATGTGCAGGGCATTTACACTGCATTAATGATGCTGAAGTCATCTAGACATGATTTAAAGTCTACAGGAGAGCCAGACTTGGCAGTGAACGCCTGTCATCCCACAGTCAGGAGGCTGAGGCAGAAGGATCGCCTGGGCAACATAGTGACTTAGCAAGAGCCTGTCTCAAAATAATCAATAAAAAGGGTGAGGGATGGAGCTCAGTGTGAAGGTCCTGGGTTCTATCCCCAGTGCCGCAGATAAACAAACGTGAGTGCATATCCCCCGTTCAACAAAAAAATAAACATTTAGCATAAAGCCACCAGGACAAATTTTCTGACCATTTCTTTGGGAAATTCACCCCTCAGTTTGTCCTGCCTCTTGTATATGGATGTCTCAGCCTCACGTCCCCACTTAACATTCAGTTATTAAGATTGGTGCCAAATAATAGCAGGGCCACTGTATACAGTAGGCTTAAAATAAAGGCAACCGGCACAAGGGGGCAAGCACCTGACATCCTTTTGAGATGGTGGCTTTCAGGTTGAGCCTGTGACCACCACAACATGAGCTATCCCTGCCAGAGAGCCAGGTGGTGACATCTATCTTGTACAAAAAGTACAGCCTTGGGGACCTGTCCCCACCCATAAAGACACGACCCCTTCCTAACCTCCCCCGTTCTCTGCTGGGTTTAGATTTCCTCCACTGGGGTCTCTTGCTGAGCAACTTTTACATTTTTTTCTTTTTCTTTTGTTTGGTTGAAACAGGGTCACCCTATGTAGCCCAGGCTGGCCTTGTACTCACTGACTCCCTGTGATCCTCCTGCCTCAGCCTCCTGAGTGCTGGGATCACAGGAGTGCGCCTAGCTACCTACAATACTGACCCACTGGCCCGGGGCTTTTGTGGAAAGCACGTGGCTTTTGTCATCAATGGTCCAAAAGCAAATGGGGGTGGAAGGAGGGGTCTTGTTCGGGGCTCTGTATTCCGTTCCTAGATCCAGCTGTGGATTCCTGTGCCCTCAGGACACGCCCTGATGGCTGGAGCCCTACCATGGGGAGCCGGGTCCCGGAGAGCAAGGCTCGTGCAACAGCAGGCCCGAGACAAACGGGAGCCCATGTTCTCCAGGTCTCCATCCCGGGTGGACGCAATAGAGGCCAGCACCTCCACTCTGGTCCCAGCTCCTTCCTGGACAGTCCCCTCCGGCTTCTCGAGTGCCTGGAGGGCTGCCGTAGCCAACTCTCTGCTAAGCACCTACTGTACACCAGAGAGTTTCCTGTCCCGGCCTCCCTGGCCTGAGCCCTGATCTGCTCCCAGAGCTCTGCCCTGGCGCATGCGCGGGGATCAGTCCATGAGGGACTCCACGGGCCGAGCTGAAGCAGGGCCGGGCTAGAGCGCAGCTGCAGAGCGGAAGTGTAAGGAGGAACAGGCTGCTTGCTGAGTCTCAAGTAGCTCTCCCAAGCTATGCATTCACCTGGAATAAAAAAAGAAAAAAGTTTAGGCCAGGGATTTAGCTTAGTGGTTCTGCCGCCTGCCCCGCAAGTGCGAGGACCCGAGTTCGATGCCTGGTACAAAAAAAAATGGTTTTTATTAGGCGCAGTGGTGCACGACTGTCATCCCATCACTCTGGGAGGCTGAGGCAGGAGGATCACAAGTTCAAGTCCAGCCCGGGCAACTTAGTGACTTAGGAAGATCCTATCTCCAGATAAAAAGGGCTGCTGGTGGAGCTCAGTGCAAAGGCCCTGGCTTCAGTGCCCAGTATTGAAGGAAAAAGAAGGAGAAGGAAGAGGAGGAAGAAAAGAACCCAAAGACCACAACCTGACCATTCCGCCTTGACTATGTGTAATGAAATACCACGCTGCACCCCAGAAATATGTGCGATAACTGGGCATTGATTAAAAATCAAAAAGCAGGGCCCAGGATTTAGCTCAGTGGTTCTGCTGCCTGCCACGCAAGCGCAAGGACCCAAGTTCGATCCCTGGTACCAAAAATTTTTTTAAAAAAGCATTCTTGGGAAAACTAACGAAACTCAAATCAAGTGAGTGGCTCTGAAGCAGCAGGTGCCCCTCCAAGTGTCCCGGTTTGATCACCACACTGTGGTTACATAAGACAAGCACTTCGGGGGAAGCGGGGAGAAGAGTATTCAGAACCTTGGTGCTATTTTTGCGATTTTTCTGTAAGTTTAAAATTATTTCAAAACAACATTTAAAAAAAAAATCAGAAATCCTTAAGGCACTAAAAAAATCCTTAAGCTCTAAGGAAAAAATAAGTCTCAGAAAGAGGCAGTGGCTGATGAAGGGGATAGGGAGGGACATCCTCTCTGCCTGGGGGACATTTCAACAGATAGCTGAAGGATGAGGAGGATTCCGCAGAAAGAGACAGGGTGGGGCGAGACCAGAGTTCTCTGGGGCAAGAACAGCATGTGCAAAGGCCCTGGGGCCACTGGAGTGGCTGGATCTAAGGGTGAGGCAAGGTGTGGGGCGGGGAATAGAGAGAACACGGGCTCCTGATGGAGGGCCTTGGTGACCACGTGTGTTTTGTTGCCTGCATCATGTGGATCCTGGAGGACCCCAGGTGGCAGCTGGACCCTCATGGCAGAGGCTGCTGAGGACCTGGGTCCCTGGGCGTCATGGCCCCAGGCCCAGCTGGCAACCACTGGGCTGTGATGCCACCTGTCAGGCGGAAGCTGAGCCCCCGTCCCATCCCTGGTCCCTGGCTCAGAGCCGCTGCCTGCCCAAATGCTAACGATCTCGCCTCCGATGTGTGTGTGT